GGTACTTGTCATCTGTTTCCCCCAGGAAATGGTACAGTCGGAACCCGAGAGCGTACAAATCCCCCTCTTGAGTGCACTCTCTGATGGCTATGTTTTTATCTCGGCCCTCCGGGATCTTGGCCAGAATCCTCCCATTCTTCTCGAGGGCGGCGCTCCTCACTTTCTCGTGCCTTCTGAACCGATCACGCAGTTCCCTCGGGAAGGGGCTCTCGGCTAACTTTACGTAACACCATCTGTCTTTCCACCCTTTGTTTGAGGAGGGTGCGTCAGTAAACAGTTTGAACAGTGCCACCTGCTGCAAATTAGCGAAGCCCTCGGCATTCGCATGCCCCCCCCGGCATAAGTTGAAGCTCTGGAAAAATAAGTCCAGGCTAGGCGTCACCCCCCGGGACTTGCAGAGGTGGAGAAAGCCCGCAATGTATGAATGACTGTTTGGCGTGAGCTGGCAAGGGAGCAGCTCTACGTACCGAAGGTACTCATGCAGAAAGGGATGCAGGGGGAATCGGAGGCCCATAGACACCGACAAGACATGGACCGCTATACATCCCTCGGGAGACTGGGAGAGGATATCATCAGCTCCCATTGGTACTACCATCGCCGAGGGCCCCACATGAAGCTGAGTGACGTAGAGGTCTGCCCCATCAGCCTTCGACCGTATGTCCAGGGCAGCGGTATTCAGGTAGGAATACCCCTCAGGCATGTCAACAGGCTTCCCCTGATCGGCAACACTACCCTTCTTCTTTGATGTCACACCCTTCGTCTTCTTTTTCCCGGGGGCCACCCGCAGAGGGACTGCGTTCAGTGGCGGGGAGGTGCTGGCCTCACCGGCGTCGCGAGGGGGGAGAACGGCGACAGTAACCCTCGCGCTCTCTCTCTGCGCCTCTTCTTCAGCTGTTTGCCAAGCAAGGGCCAGCTCCTCATCATCGCACTCTTGTTCGAAGCCCTCGGCTTTCACCTCAGCGACGAGGGCTCTCTGCAGCTCCATCGCCAAGGCAGCATCGCGCGCCACTGAAGGCTGCTCACTTGAGGACTCCACGTCCGAGATGGTTTCCTCCTCCATCGAGGGCGGCCTCGAGATGTCCTGAGAGTCGCTTTGCGAAGACATCCTCAACAGCTAAAGGGATGAGGGGTTTCTAAGGCAGGAGGCTTCCTAAGGCAGTTAAAGCACTTAACCTAAGGCCACACAACTACGACCTACTGATGCTACAACAAATGGGCGGAGAACTGACCTCGGAAGATTGATTGATCGAAGGCAGCTGTTTCTCTCTCTAGGAATTTGGGCAGAGCTTCGCTACAATGATATCGCACAAGAGTAAAGTGGCCTGGCCATGGGGTATTTATAGGCACCTGGATCCGGGCTTGGGCCTGGAAACCGGGCCTCCGGTTGGACTACCATCATTACGAACCGACGAACTGACCAATCAGTGACGCCCGTCCACAGGCAGCAAACGAGCACGCACCACGTGGAAGCCCCCCCAACGGCTATATTGTGACCTTAGATATTCCAACGGCTATATTCTGGGAGCCTCCGGCTAAATTCAGCAGCCCACTCCTTCATCAACCAAGGAACCAGCCCCCGAGCTTTTTGCTTCACTCCGCTTCATCAAGAAGAGCCCTCGGGTACACTTACCCGGAGACGCTCCCGGTTTGTGCCCCTCACACTACGTAACAAATGCCTTCGGGCTCACTCCTTCAGAAGCCCACGGCTTCATAACAGGCGCACCCCTCGGGGATCCCCCCTCAGCACTTTAAGGGCCGGGTAGCCCTCGGGGAGTACGCCTCATTGACAGATAGCCTACGGCACACAGGTAACGGGAGCCCTCGGATACACTCCTCACCAACTAATCAACAAACAGGGGACACCCCGGTAACACTTCAACTACTACTCACATTCATCATGCCCTCGATCCCCAGATTGAGGGATTCCCCTTCGGCCCCTCCCAGGATATCAACAGCACGCCTCCGGCTAATCAACACATGCGCCCTCAGGACAAGGATAGCCTTCGGCATCAGCATGGTACTCCATTTCAAACCAGGGCTTCACGTTTTCGATTCATCATTGGGGGAATTCGGTGCACTCTTTTTCCCTCATTAGGATTTTTTCCCACAGGGTTTTTTCCTAATGAGGTTTTTAACGAGGCATCCCCCCAAAATGAAACGAAAAGCGTCAGCCTTCGGCCCAAGACAGCAACATGACTACTCTACTCCTTTTCACCACTTTGCAAGTGCCTCAAGGAGTGGGGGACTGGAGAACCCCCCCTCGGGAAAAATCACAAAAATCACAAACATGACCCCTCAAGTCCCGACATGTGGGTAACTGAGGGACTGCCCTCGGCAGAATAAACAAACAGCAAACTACCAACAATTCTACAAACTACAAACAACGACGAAGGACAAACACAATTACTCCTTTTTTCTCAAGTACCTTTCGGCAAAAGGAGTGAGGGACTCCTGATGGAGTATATGGCCCGGGAACCCCCGGTCCACAGACTCCTACTACTCCAATAAAGGCCCAACAGACCCAGAAAGCAAAACATGCCCAAATCACAACGCCTAGAGTACCAAGCGGCCCACAATGCGCACCAGGAGTGCCTTCGGTGTACTGGCCGAAGGCTCTGATCCTCACAGGAGGGTCAAATCAGGAAAACAAAGTTACTGGGAAAAACGGCGAAAATCGGTAGCCCTCGGCACCTAGATCCCTCGGCACTAAGGAGGTCCCTGGTGCTCAGAGCCCTCGGCTAATCATCTACAGCCGAGGGCACCGTTTCCGACATAATATCCGCTCCACATGCATACAGATCACCGTACCCAGTACGACGTCACATCCAACAGCCGCATTAAATGCGGCCACATGCGGTTGCCAGCGCCAACCAGTTGAGGTGACCCCTCGGCCAATGGGTGCTTGACACGTGTCCCCGTCTGGCATTTATTACTACTATAAATAGCACCCCATTTTCCCATTTGTAACAAAGACACAACACGCTGAAAACGCTGAATACATTTCTAATATACTCTCTCTCTCTACTTACTTGCTCTGACTTCTCTCTAGTTATTCCTCGTAATAACCCCTCGGATAAGCTACCCCCGGGTACACCATCCATCACTTACAAAAATATGTCTAATATTACTATGAATACAATGTCATGATCATTGAAGTGTAAAAACTGAACATAAATTATTATGACTAAAGTTAATGCTAATGTATTTAAGAGGTCAATTTTTTATAACCAAATTTCACTTTTGTCATATATTTGTAGTTATTTTTAATCTATAACCCAAATGCAAATGTAATACCTAGGTTCTCGCTTTTGGGTCTTTTACTTTCCAATTTTGATTTATTTGTTGATTAAGATAGTAGTTTCTATGAAAATATGAATTTAACCGTTGTTTTAGAGACCAAGTGTCAAATATATTAAGCACAATATAAATACCCGTAAGAGTAAAATTGTGATGACTTTTATACTTTTTCTTGTCACTTACTTTGGGCTTGTTTGATAATCCGTGGTTAGCTGTTAGTTGCTTAAGTTAGTGGTTTTAATTAGTTAGTGATCTGTATTAGTTGTTTTGACTTTTTATCAATTGTTCCTAATCGTTTGGTAATGTTAGCTGTTGGAAAAAGTATTATTGAACTTTATAAAAATAATGGAAAAAACTTTGAATAATACTAATTGTCACACATAAACCAATAATATGTAATTTAGAAATAAATTTATAAGTAAAATATGTAATCTCCACATATACGGTACTTCATTTTTCACTAATTATACTTTTGTAATTTTTTAATTTCCAAATGTAATTATACTTTGAATGATACTAATTGTCACACATAAAATAATGATAACAATAACGATAACAATAAAAAACATCAGTAACACTATGTAATATCCATTAAAAACGATAACAAAATCAGTAATAATTAAATAATGAAAATAACAAAAGTAATGATATAAGTCATATAACAATCCAACGGCCCATTTTATTTGATAAGTTAATGTACATAAACTAAGTAAAAGAATGAAAAGGTGGAATAGTGCGCATATATAAATTTATATTAATATACATATGTAATATTGCGCATATCGAAGAAAGAAAAAAAAATTGGAAAAGCCAACATGAAACGCCGCTACTCCCGTCGGCCAACGTAGGAGTGGACTCGGGCCGGGCCAACCGGCCCGGAACCGGACCGGCCCGCTACTGTGCGGGCCCGAACCGGCCCGCTACTGTGCGGGCCCGAACCGGCCTAGTGAACCGGTTGGTTGCCTGTTTCGGGCCACCCGACCCGGTGGGATGGCGATTCGGGCTCGGGCCCTTCAAAAGGTGAATCGGCCCGGCCGGTTCGGGCCCGGGCCGGGCCAATTTATTTTTATTTTTTTTGAATTTTTTTTAGGTTTTTGGGTTGGGCTGGGTATTTTAGGCATTTGAGGTGGTTAGGGTTGGTTTGGGGGTGAGGAGGAGGGTTGGAGGTTAACTACGAAAAGCCAAAAAAAAAATTAGAACCGAGGCCCGGGCCGGTTCCGGGCCTCCCCTTCATGAACCGAGGCCCGGACCGGGCCCGAACCGGAACCGGTCCACCCCTAGGCCGGCGTGTGACAAAATGGCTGTTTCAATGAAACATCTACTTGTAGAAGCCGTCTTACCAAACACTTTTTTGTAGCTGATCAATAGTTCAAATCATCCAAAATTGGTCAAAGAAGCTAAAATGATGGTTGATAAGCCATTTAATTTAGGAGTGAATTTCATATAATTTCACTCTTGACATAGGGAAAATTAGCTGCAATAAATGTGTTTGTGTTATTACTACTCTTGATGAAAACTGAAGAAATAAGGTGAATCATGATAGAAAAAATTCACTAATATTACTTCTCGAAAAGTAATGAATAAAAATGTGTTTTGATAACTTTTAGTAACTATAATTGTATTCAAAATTACTATAATGTAGTGATCATGTTTTAAACTTTAGACACAATTATATTCATTCACTAAAAGTTACCAAATCACATTTTTTATCATGGACTTTTTTGTATAGGTAGATTTGGGAGATCTGGAAACCTAAAAACTGACTGAATCAGAAATATTCTTCTTGATCAGGGTACGGATATTTTATCTTGTAAACATTACCACAAACTTGCACACGCGGGCATTACAAAATCAAGTCATTGAATCGATTCTTACTACGCACTACAATAATATACTATGTATATACATATATGTGTGTACAGGACATGTTCAATTCCATGTTCAAACCCTTTATATAAAACTTGCTTTTTTGTAGATATACAATCTTGAAAAGTACAAGTATCCGGCAAAGGTCATCGTACTAAGTCCAGCAAGAAGCCAATAGAAGTAGTCAAGATGTGCACGATTCAGGTTGTCGGAAAACCAGCTGTCCCCCCCACCTCTGCTACTGGATTGGTCAATAATAGAAATCAGAAAGCTGCTTAGGAAACTTCCCACACCAAAGATGCTGAGGTACAAAGAAAGGCCAATGCTTTTCAACTCACATGGCATTTGATCATAGAAAAACTCCTGCAGACCAACCATGCTGAATGCTTCAGAAATACCAACCAATGTATACTGAGGAATTAACCAACACACGCTAATGGGAAGTGTTGCCCCTGGTGAGTCAATCAACCCATAGTCCAAAGCAGTCTGAAGGCGTTTCTTCTCAACTATAGCTGCAACTACCATGGACGATATAGAAAAGACCATCCCTGTTCCTATTCTTTGAAGCATAGTTATACCCGAGGGTCTCCCGGTTATAGTTCTTGTGAAAGGGACCAGAACACGATCATATATTGGCATAAATACAACTACTGAAATGCAAATGAAACATTGATATGCAGCGGCTGGTACTTCAAGATTGGAACCAATAAATCTATTCATGGTTGCTCCTTGTTTGGTGAATACGGTGGACGTCTGTGAAAACACAAGAGCATATCCCAAACATGTCACCCATATTGGAGCCAATCTGAGAATTGATTTTGCCTCTTCGACCTCATCCATACTAGAAGCTTTCCCATATCCCTTTGAGCCATCAGGAGCAATCAGTGCTTTGTTAAGGAACCTGCGATAACAAAAAGAGAAGACCAAGATTAGACGAATGAGTCATTTATCCATTCTAAAGGAATAAACTAATAGGATGAGTACCACAAGGGCTTACATGTGAATTTCGAGTTCTATATTTAGTCGAAGTGCACTTCTATATTTAGCCGATATGGGGTCAGTGGGTCACTAATCATTCCAACAAGATTGTTGCTCACTGGAGCAAACCAATCATAAAGTTTGTGTGCTTTTTTTGTGTCTTAGTCATATTGAGTTGCTCGTTTAAGCTTTTAGCCTTTGGTTAAAAATCGACTACTCGCACCTGAAATGAGGACCATGCCATTAGACCAAACACTGCCATTTGGATAGTTTGGATGGGCTCAATTAAGAAACCTTAGCTTCAGGATTGTGAAGGTTGTTGTTAGGAACCAGATTTATTATTCTTATTAGGTGGATTGTCCGGGTCCCTATCAGTTGTAAATCAGAAAAATTGGCATCAGTGGTCGCAACTCGCAATGAGACAAAGTTACTCACGATTAATAAATGCACTTGGGCACCACCTTATAATCCATCCTAGCATGTTACTCAAGCACTGGAAAAGAAAAAAGCTATAGTTCAAGTACAACGTTGAAAAAGGTTTGAAAAAGGGAGGGTTAATCACGTACATGAATTGTTGAGATCCTTTGTTTCGTAGAACGCCTAGAACCTCGAGCTCCATTAATATATTAGTTGTGCTAGCTTTGCGATTTGTAGCAGCATAAACAAACACAAGTCCAATTCTCACAAATGGGTTTTTATTATCAACATTTTGTCGAAAGCGATAAGTGACAGTACCAAATAAAAAAGTAGCAAGTGCAACACCCATGATGATACAAGGGATTCCAAACCCAAGGCCCCAACTAAGGTAGTCTTGTATATAGGTTAAAATCAAGAGTGCCACGATAATGGCAAAGTTCATTCCGAAATACCACCAGTTGAAAAATGAGCTTTTGGCTTTATTCTCCTGTGGATCTTGAGTATCAAATTGGTCAGCTCCAAAAGCTTGCACACAAGGCTTGTGCCCACCTTGAGCTAGTCCCACCAGGTAAAGAGAAAAGAAAAAGAAGATAACTTCAAATTGAGAAGGAGAGCATGTGCCGTTATCTGTAGCACTTTGACAGTTGAAAGACTTTGAATGAAGAGCAGCTGATAGGGTTAAGAAGCCCAGTCCCTGCATCAGAACAGATGATTGATAAAGATTTATATAATGCCTTAAAAATAAATCAAATTGTCTGTTCTTTATTTTCACTCTGGTAGAACTTAACAGAGCTAGTGATTGATGGGTATATACTAAGAAACATAAAAAGAATAGAACCGTTGATTAGAAAATATTGAAGAGTGAAAACAACTGTGTCAACTTTAGAAACGTTAGACAAAATATTCATGTGAATGTGTCATATGAGCATATCATCTAATTCTAAAAATGACTCAGGACAAATATGTATCATCAGTCATCATCATCATCATCTGTGTGCCAACTATGCTGGTTATTGTCTTGAAATGCATAGTGTCGATGAATTGTCTAAAATTAGTTGTCAATGTAAATTCATACAAAAATAACATGCAGATTTCATAGAGATACATATTGAACATTTTCTCTCTTTAATGTAACTAATTTGACATACTTGTTCTCCCTCTTAAAAATTGTCCAAATCGACTTCCTATTCATTAATTTCTTAAGTGTCTATCCATCGACCGACATGTGATTGAAGTACTGAGGTCTGAGGAACATAACGTAAATGTTTCTTGTGTCTATCCATCAATCGACATGTGATTAAAGTATTGCGGAACATAACTGATAAATCATGAACAATTATTGGGTTAATTGTGATGGTAGTAAAGACTGAAGTGGGGTACATCCATAAATTGTGAGTGGATACAATAAGGAGCATGAAGATTAGAAACGTACAAATCATGAATGCTTGATAGAATCCTATACACAAATACAGCCCTGTTATTATTGGCCAAAGAAGCACAGACAAAGATATGATAATGGATGGCAGTTAGGGGTTCAGATCGGGTTTGGATAGAAGTAGCCTAATATTCAGATTGGCTACCAGCCCATTTTATAACACAAAAATTGGCTAGATCTACTGGATGTCTGTACGTGTTTAAAGTGCAGATGTAGTGGTTGAATTGATGAAATAATTCAGTGTAACTCGACCATTTACAAAGAAAATGATGCATACGAGTTCAATACAATGCTGCTAGTATGTACTAACCATGACATATAATAGGGAGGCGATAACAATGGTCCAGTATCTACCCAGAAAAGAGTCGGCCAAAAAAGCACCCAAGAGAGGCAAAAGCGACGCCGTTCCAGTCCAGGCATTCACATTCTCGGCGGCTGTAGCCGTGGACTGGCCCAGCGGGCCAGTCAGATAGCTCATGAGGTTCAAACCTATCCCATAGTACGCAAATCTCTCTGCCATCTCCACAACTAGTGCGGCAACAAATTACATAAATTTAATAAAGACGGACAAAAAATCAACGAATGTAATCGGATTTTGGGTGAGGGCGTAATAGAATCGAAAAGTAGGAGAAGATGGGGCATAACCTATGATGAAAGAAGCTGATCTCCACCGACCGGATCTGGATCGGGTGGCAGGATGGCCCTTGTAATTCACGGAGCCGTCAACGAAATGGTGTTGCAGAATTGGAGTTTCGGCCTCCGGGAAAGCCGTTCTTTTTCCGGTAGCCATAGAGGGAAGACAAGTACCACGTTACTACAGCACGCCAATGGGGGCGTGGCCTTCATAAGAACGCAGCAAGCAGTGAAAAGAAAGTCGCCAGCCGTCGTCATCAGCAAACGTCAGTAACAGATGGAAAGAGACTGCTTGATGTATTGGGCAAAAAAAGGATGACACCCATCCCGGATGAGTTGCCTGATTCGAAACCGGAATCCAACTCTTGTGACACTCTTCGATTTAAAGATCAAACAATAACCTTGATTTTCTGGTTTCTTACCTCGAATCTCATGTTTAGATTCCACTATTTTCACCCAACACCCAAATCTTGTTTTGAAAAACAGAGGTCCCCATATTTTAAGTCGTTTTTTTGAGTCAATATATTTTAAGTCATTTTTAAGTACCCATTTGTAATGTGGTTCACAAAAGACAATAAATAATAAATGAAGCAATTAATTTATGAATGACCTTTTGTTAACCATACAAATAGTGAAGTACAAATGGGATATCCGAAATGGGGTACACAAAAAATAACTCTCACAATCCAATCATAACTCAAGATTGACACAAAGAAAAACAAAATAAAAGTAGTTCGACCAAAGTACATGATAATAATAAAAGCAAACTTATTAAACTCCTGTGCTTCCCCATAACCACTAGGGACTCCCGAGGACCTTCCTTGTCACGAAGCTTCCTCAGAACTCTCGTCGGGCCTGGCAATCGGGACTTGCCTCCTCGTTTTTTAAACTCATCTATAGCCATGCCATCTCCACTTGAATCCTTATGCTCTTGTTTCTCCCATAGCCTCGTGCGCTTTTGATCTCCAGGTGCCTCCTCTGTATTAGATGGTCTTGCTTCACCTGTCATATTCTTCTCAGAATCAGCCACAATTATGACCCAATGATATCTCCTGCCTCCGTTTGCCTGACCATTACTCCCTCTCTGTCCTGTTTATCTTTTTGTTGCTTCTCACCCATACTTGAAGCCCTTTTGAACCAGCAACTTATTACCATCTGTAGGCTGAAATCCCCCCCCCCCCCCCCCCCCCCTCCCATATTCTCTGACACTTTATTTTCACACTCATACGCCAAAGAACTGAACTTGTCGCCATGGCCAATAACTCCGCACAAAAAACAAAAGCTATGTAATTTTTCATATTTAAAATCCACTCAGTGTCCAACTCCTTGTACTTTCCTAAAGGTTGTTTTCACCTTTAGAGGTTTTTCTACATCCATACAGACTCCAATTCTCATATAAGCTTCCCATGTTTCTTTAATTTGACTTTCACCAAAATTGATAAACTGTCCAATAAAATTGTCAATCCTTCTAGCCACTCCTAAAGTCATATAATCATATGGCACATTATGCTACATTTAGAGGAACCTTCAGGGGGTATATCCCCGACATAACAGCCCTAAGAATCAACATATTTTGTTCAAATAACCACGGGTCACTGTCCAAAAGACGTTGCATATCACAATATGATACAAAGTAAACAAATACTTTCTATCCCCTAGTTCTTTGATCGACACTTGTAGATTATTCTAAATATTCACCCAATTGTGTATTTATGAGGAGATACTTTAGAGAGCTCAGAATCTCTAAATATCCCCTATACCGTGGAAACTTAATTAGGAGGATTCCTTCCTTATTTGTTCTAATTCTCTAGCTATTATATACTAGACAAAGTACTCGTGCGATGCATGGATGTATCTAGAATAGAATAACAACTTATTTAAAATTAAATTTTATTACGATGGTACATATAATGTGTTTTTGTCAAATAAAAAAGACATTACAATTTATATGTGTTAAAGTATTTGCTCCACACCAGAAAGCTATAAAACAATAAAAACACTATATAAGGCTTTGAGTTACTCCTCCTATCAAGTTACATTTTAGGATGAAATCATGGGTCTTAACAGGATATCAGAGCTAATTCTGGTTATGGTTAGACTACTTGTTCAACACTCATGATTGAGGCAGCTTATTAAGAGTTTGTTTGGTCCATTTGTACACTCCGATATTGTCCAGACCGGTTCGGGCTTAGGAGGCATGTTGGGAAGTCAGTTAAATGAATTGTTGAAAAACACTGTTCCAAAACATGCATACAAAATATGCATAAACTTCATAGAAGATATGTTCATAAATTTTCATCACAAAATTCTATTCGGAAGCACCTCAAAAAATTCTACCGAAAAAATTACTAGTTCTAGGCTCACAAATCAGCCTACTCACATCTATTATAAAGAACAAAACATGGATCTAGTTTTTTTCGTTTTTTTAGGCCTAGGGCCCACCTACCTACCCTCAGGGCCACCTTGTTTTTTGTTATTTTTGTTGTTGTTGCTGTTGCAGCGTAATTCTTTGAAAACATGCTTTATTTGTTATAAACATTCTTTGAAAACATGCTTTAGTTGTTTATTAGTATTTTAAACCATGTTTAAAATACTAGCCTACAAACTCAATAATATGCGGCACTTTGAACTTCAATATGCAGTAAAAATAATGTAAAGATGCAGTGGTGAGATCACATACAAACTAGTCCTCCCATTCAAATCATCTTTACATTATTTGTATTGCACATTGAAGTTCAAAGTGTTTCATATTATTTAAGCCATAAAATAGCAGTTTCATATTTAAATTATTCGTATTGCATATTGAAGTTCAAAGAGTGCATCTTTACATTATTTGTACTGCATATTGAAGTTCAAAGTGTTGCATATTATTGAGTTTGTAGGTTATTAAACTAAGCATGGTTTGTATGTGATCTCACCCCTATATATATATATAACCAAAATAAAAGTAGTGGACAAAAATGTGAGCTTAATAATTTTAGTGACTATAATTGAATTTAAATAATACATCATGGTGACTATAAAACTTAAATATAATAATCTATAGTCACATTTTTGTCCATAATATTTTTATTAGTAATATTTTATGAAAACCATCTTTTTAAATAGCTTGTTATAATGGTAGTTAAATAAATCTTCTCTAATAAATCTACAATCACAATTTAGTGTGAAATCAAAAGTTACATGCTTGATGAAAATTTGACCGCTAAGGTTGATAAATCGAAAATAGAGGTCACTAAATGAACTTTTAAAATGTTCTATAAATCCTCCTATGGTGTATAAAAGAGAACATGGTTCTATAAATTAAATAAAATTACTTTTTACCCAATAATTAATTAGTTAGTTAATTTTCATAAATGACATTCAATATACTTTTTACCCAATAAAATTACTTTTTACCCAATAAAAACACATAAAAGTGGATGTTCTTTTAAACTTATTTTGAGTTACAACACTTATAGGAATTTCAATATATTTTAGGAATTTCAATATATATTTTGTAATAATTGGATTACAAATAAAAAAGTTACAACACTTTAAAAAAGAATGAAATTTTATTTTGATAAGACTCATGAATGAAATTCTCCTCTTTGTCACTTTTTTAAAACGTTCATTGTCAACTTATTTATTATTAATGGCTTATGAATGCAGTACCAAAATTACTTTTGTCATTAATTTCCTATCGTGTCTTCATTTTGGGCGATAATTTTCCCTCCAATAATTGTAGCAACACTGCTACTTATATAAAGAGATTATTATCGTTATAGATGTAGTGGATAAATTCAATATGTTATAAAGTAGTGGCAATTAACTTATACTCTTATTATTATTATTATTATCATTATTATTATTACTGTGACACCGCACCCGAGTGTACTTGAATTTGAAAATTCAATATGTATTTGAATTTTCTAGCGAATAAAATTGTGCAACAGAATGATTTATTTAATTAAAGTATGAATAATTAAATTATTTATCGGGTCCATAATATTGAGAATGAGCTACCAAATAATTAGTTGGGTCATCATAATACTTATAGAAGCCCAATTAAATGCCAACGAAGGTTGGGAAAAATGTTTGGGCAATCCAAGTGCTATTTCGACCCAACCTGCCAGAAATAGCAGGAATAATCGAGAGGGACTTCCTATAGCAGAAATACCCACCTGGGGATTTTTCCTACATAACTTATGGTCTCCAAATAATGGAATGAGACACAAATAAGTGATAGGGCCGAGCTATAGAGTGAGGGAATGGCTATAGTAGACACAACCCATACACCCCATGTCCTCTCATAGCATGTGTTTTGGTCCGTAGTTGAAGATAGATACCTCCCCCCATTCATTTTGAGCCATACGCACAAGGGAGAAAGAAAGAGAAGCTCTAGAGGAAAGCTCTCACAAAGCTCAAGCTTGAAGGAAGCAAGAGGAGAATTAATCCAAGGAGAAAAGGAGAGTGTTTGAGGTGAGATTTTTAACATTTCCTTAACTAGTATTTTCTTGTATGATTTTTAATAAATCATATGGTGAATTAAACATGAAGTTCTACACGTTTAAAAGTGTATAATATTGTTATAAAGTAGTGGCAATTAACTTAGAAGAGTTGGTGAATCAATACGAGTCGAAATCGCCGGAAACCGCCACTTATAGGGAGCTGCTCGAATCTGCAGAACACGAAAGACGCCCGGCTTTTGTGAAAGCCGCCCGACTTTTGGCTGCTGTCCAGGATTTTCACTTTCAATCGGCCTAGAACGGGAATTGATCGGAGGGCTTAGCAAAGACAACTATTTTAGCACATCTTAAGGTGAGGATGACTGACTATATTTCTTATAATTAGTGAGTTAATTTCATAAGATTACCTAAGGTAATTAAATGTGATTTTCATGGATTATTAATGATTAGTAATGCATAAATGAAAATACTGTTGTTTAAAAAAATATTGTTGTTTATGAGTATGTGAAGCATGATATACAAATTTAGGAGAAATTGTGTATGATTATGTGTTATGAAAGTGATGACATGATAACGGAATTAACTGTAAGGAATAAATGTATTTAGATTTTGATGATGCTAGGTTGATTAGAATTTTAAAGTACCCCATTAGCAATTTTGTATTAGAAATTTTCTTTGTAAGTATTAGCATAGTCGACTGGCCAGAGACCCTCTTGGACTTTCTGATCAGAGTTGCTCTTCAGAGTTGCTCCCAGAGTTGCTCATCACTCATCAGAGAAGCTACCAGAGTTGGGTACCAGAGTTGGCATCAGACTT